GGCCCCCCCCCCCCCCCCTCCCGGGGGGCTGGGGCGGTTCAATACTGGTAACTTAAATCTTTCGTGCTTTCAATGCCTCACAATCTGACTAACTTGTACTGAGTAGGGAAACAAAGCTTATGAAGTGAGGATGGCCAAAGTAGCCACTGAATGAGCAATGTACTGATGATTTGTGCTGGGACTTGCTGAGTTATTCCTGATTTCCATTATTTGCTCACAAACGTACATCATTTTGACAAAATCATGCTTGTTGAAGTTTCTGATTGTTTGTTGGTTTGGTTTAACAGACGCTGAAGGAGCTCAGGTGCATGAATCGTGGGGATAGTTGCCTGTGGGCTACAAATTGTGCTCATCACCTACATTTGTACATCTGGATTGTATCGGATAGGTTACACTTTCATCTAATTATGTACGATAACCCCTTTACGCTGTGGTCTCTAAACTATAATGTCTGAAACAAAGTAGGAAGTGAAGAGGCTTTGGCATGAGTAAGAATTTTTTTTAGGGAACGGTAGATCAACGCAGTTTATGAACTTCTCTTATATAATTGGATTATGCTTTCTTGATTTAGGATCAATCAAGCATCTAGAGACGTATTTTGGGAAAATCTCTTGGATTCTCAATTGACTACAGAGCTATGCAATACGAAATTGTAGATGGGTTGCTGTCGAACAATGAACCTGGTGGACTTGGAGGGTACCCTGGGAGAGCTTATTTTTTGAAACTTATTGGCTGACCTGGCTTTTGGTTTTCATTGATAAGAATTTTATAATGTTTGGATAGAACTGTCATTTTCTTGGTCAAACCTAGTTTATTTAGATAAGTTTATAAGTTAAATTTTTTATTTTTTTAGATGGCTTAAAAATTAGGTTATTTGGATGTCAGTAAAGACATGTATTAAAAAAAACTATGTCAGTAAACACATGTATTAAAAAAAACTAACTTATGAGCTACTTCGACTAAAAAAATAAGATTATTATTAGATAAGTTATGACAGGCTTGTTGTACAAGTTGGATCATGTATAAGACTACATCATCATCTATTATTTCTAGGCTTCTTTTAACGAGTGCTAGGGGATGATAAAGATAAAGGAACGACGAGTAGCTCTTGGCACTCATCATTAGGGAATGAGCGAGACAGAGAGAGAGGAAGTACAAGGAGAGAAATTAGTGTAAAATAGGGGGAGCTACTTGCTATTTATTTATTTTTATCTCTCATCTTTTAAAGACTTCCACGAGATGGTAGCTTCATCCATGGTGAAGACAAATCCTCTAGTAGATCTGCACTCATCTGGTTCTGAGCACCAGCTCGCATCTGAATAGCTTTCGATTACAGCCGGATATCCAGTGTAGAATAGGTCCAGACCTGTAGTTTATTTTAAGTATCTCATCAATATTTGAACAACATCTCAATGAAGCTTTCCAGGATTACTTGTGAACTTACCAAGCATTCCTACAGTGAATGCTATGTCTAGCCTTATGCAGCTCATCGCGTACATAAGATTCCCAATGATCTTTGGGTACCTTAGCTGCTCTACTGGTCTTTTAGTGTTTGGTTGAAGCTTCTTTTTGTAATCATATGGCACTGACAGTTCTGGCAGGTCGTAGTAGCCATACTTTCTTAGCATGCGCTCAACATAATGAAATTGGGACAATCCAATACCCTCTTCAAAGTATATGATTTTGATTCCGAGAATCACGTCCGCAGTTCCAAGGTCCTTCATGCTAAACTGCGCTGAAAAAAAATTCTTGATAGATATTATCAATGTTACATTAAACGTTGGGCGCTCCTAGGCGCCGGACTTTGCGCCCAGCGCTTAGACGCCTAGGCGGGCGCCTAAGCGGTTTCTGGGCGGTTTTTTTCTTTTTTTAATTATGATACTTGAAGATAAATATATATATATACTCAATTAACATTGCATAAATATATTCAGCTCAAAAAAAAACATTGCATAAATATAAAAATACCAACACATATGCTATTCAAACTATAATAGTCAATCAAAGATGCATACATACTAAATGGCAAGGCATATAATATCCAATAACTAGAAGTTTTGGTCCCAAAGTATTAGCAAAAATTAAACATTCATATACTTAAAATTAAACATAAAATTAAACTTAATCAATTAAACAATTAAACTCAAAAATTAAACTTAAACAATTAAACTTAATATATTAAACTTAAATAATAAATACAGTTAAACAGATTTAATGTGTAATTCTTAGACAAAATCTCAAAACAAGAAATATATAAACTCTCTCTCACGTGTAATTTCCCTTTCTGACTCACGTGTAATTCCCTTACCGAGTTACTGTTAACTTATTTTTGTAGGTCAAAAATTAAACTTAAACAATTAAACTTAATATAATGTAAAAACTTATTTTTGTAGGTCAAAAATTAAACTTAAACAATTAAACTTAATATAATGTAAATATATTAAGTTAACATGTAATAAATGCATATGATAGTAAACTTAAACAATTAAACTTAATATAATGTAAATATATTAAGTTAACATGTAATAAATGCATATGATAGTCATAGAGATAATAAGTTTAGTCCTTTACTTACAGAGATGAAGCTGACTGGCAACGAGATGAGAACGAGGTCGGAAGTTGAGCTCGAAGACGAGATCGGAAGCGAAAGACGAAGACGAGATGAGAACGAGGTCGGAAGTTGAGCTCGAAAGTTGAGCTCGAAGACGAGATCGGAAGCGAAGGACGAAGACGAGATCGGAAGCCCAGGACGAAGACGAGATCGGACGCCCAGGACGAAGACGAGAGCTCTGAGGTTCTGGCGGCGTCAGGAGAGTTAGATTAGGGTTATTTTTTCTTTGTTTGTATTTTGGGTTTTGGGTTTTGGGTTTGGGTTACGGGTTTTGGGTTTGGATTTTCGTTTTTTTCTATTTAAATTGTGAGGCGGCCCGCTTAGCCTTGGGCGGCCGCCTAGGCGCTTCCAGCGCCTAATTGTGGCCGCTCAGGGCATTTCTGCACGTCCTGGGCACCGCCTCCGCCTAGGCGGGCGCCTAGGCGGGCGCCCAGGGCGTTTTTTACAACACTGGATATTACTATCTCCAAATCACTTCCGATGATGAGCATATAATCCACATAGAGGCAGATAACCATCACTTTTTCTTCAGCGACCTTGATGTATAGACACTTGTCAGATTTATTGACTTGATACCCATTGTTGCAAACAACCCCATCGAACTTCTCATGTCAGAGTTTTGGTGCATGCTTAAGTCCATATAGAGACTTAACAAGTTTATAAACTTTACTAACTGGAGCATTAAGTCCTTCTGGTTTCTCCTTGTAGATCTCTTTTGTGAGATGTCCATTGAGAAATGCAGTCTTCACATCTATCTGATGTATGACAAACTTTTTTATCGCTGCCCATGCGATAAGAACTCTGATGGTAGTGATCCTGCAAACTGATGCATAGATTTTAAAGAAATCTATTCATTCTTTCTGAGAGAATCCTTTCGTCACCGGTCTTGTTTTGTACTTCTCAATAGTACCATCAGGACGAATCTTCTTCTTGAAGATCCACTTGTAACTGATAGGCCTTGCATCTTTAGGTACATCCACTAGCTCCTATGTGTGATTTTGGATCAATAAATTCATCTCATCATTTATAGCTTCTTTTCACAGAAGAACGTCTGTTAACTGCATTGCTTCTTGTAAAGTCTGTGGATCTCCTTCCACATTATAGGTGATGAAGTCATCTTCAAAATATTTCTGTCTCCTGACACGCTTGAAAGATGGTTCGGTAACTTCTTCATCATTAATACTTTTAGTTTCTCGCAAAACTGGTTCCTCTAGTGCATCTGACGTACTAACATTCTCTGCTATATCTTTGAGCAATAAACTTTTATCTTCGATAAACTTATCCTCAAAGAATTCTGCATCCCGAGCTTCAATGGTGGAGGTGGTTCCAAGGTCCAGGAACCTGCAAGCATCGTTGTCTTCAGCAAAGCCAAGAAACACACATTTGTTAGCATTTGGTCCGAGCTTAGGTCTTATGATATCTAGAACTTGAACATATGCAAGACACCTCCACACTTTGAGACTATCCAAAGAATCTGGATATCCTAATTATAACTGATGAGGAGTACTATCAGTTTTGAAATATGGTACTCTGTTAAGAATCCAGTTTGTCATTAGCAAAGCCTCTCCCTAATAGCAAGTAGGTAGACCAGATGTGATTAGCATCGAATTCACCATCACGGTCAATGTGTGATTCTTTCTTTCTGCAATTCCATTAGATTGCGAAGAATACGAAGCAGTAGTTTTAGCAATGATTCCATGCTCCTTGAAGTATGCTTCTGGTTCCTTAGATCAGTACTCTCCTCCTCTGTCGCTCCTGAGTCTTTTCACCTGAAGTCTAAACTGTTTCTCCACATGAGTCCAAAACTCGATAAACTTGTTGAATGCTTCATCTTTAGATTTCAGTAGATAGACGTGGCAGAAGCGAGAATGGTCATCAATGGAGGTGATAAAGTATTTTATGCCGCCTCGAATAACGAAGCTCTTGAAGTCACAAGTATCTGAGTGAATCAGATCCAATAGTTTGGTGCTCATTGTGACACTTGAAAAGGGCTTCCTTGTCAGTTTTGCTTGCGCACAGACTTCACACTTCTCAAGTTTGTTACCTCCACATTTCGGAAGTAATCCTAACTTCTCCATGCTAGACAGTTTTCTATAATTTACATGTCCAAGTCTATTATGCCATAACACAGAAGAGTAAACAGAAGATGATATTTCATTAACAACTAAATTGGGTATGATAATACTAATCTTATACATGCCATCAGTACGATATGCATTTTTAAAATACATTTTCTTAAAAGATAACATCATTTCCTCATTGGAAATTCAGCCTTATATCTCCATCATAGAACAGGCTTCCTGAGACTACGTTTTTAGCAATTGAGGGAACATGTTTCACATCCTTCAATGTGATAGTCTTCCCTGAAGAGAGAGTCAGTACCATAGTCCCAGTTCTAAGAACAGAAACCACAGAATGATCAGCCATTGATACGTTCTCTTTGGCAGCAACATAAAAAGAGAACAAATATCTGTTGGAGCAGATATGACAGGTAGCACCTGTGTCTAACCACCAACCAGATATGTTGTTGGGAGTTATCACTTGGAAGAGTATAGCCACAAAATTGTCAACTTGATTAACATTGTGTATTATTCCCTTCTTTGGTGCTTTGCAGTCCTTGGTAAATGTCCTTACTTTCCACAGTTGAAGGATTTTACGCTCTTCTTAAAATATTTCTTTTGAATATTTAGATTCTTTGGGTTTTGGTTCTTCTTTTTGTTAAATGACTTCTTCTTCTTCTTAGAAGAAGAACTAGTACCCTTCTCAGAGTTAGCAGACACCATGTTAGCAGACACCTTTTGCTTAGCAAGGAGCTCATTCTTCGTGCGAGTCTGAATCTCGTCCTCGATCCGAATGAACCTCTTCAAATCAGACAAAGTCACATGTTTTTCCTTCTCCGAATGTCAGTGAAGAATGACATCCAAGATGGAGGAAGT